CCACCACGCCCGGCCTATATTCCTTTTCTATTGTAAAACTTTTCAGTCACTTGAGGTATGGAAGATTATAAAATACATCAGATGAGACAAAGGCCTATTACAGAAAAAGGGGAGGCAACTGTTCTCAAATATAACTTCTCACTAATAAATCCTGACTATATTTCCTTCTGAAATAATTTTTAAAAACATGATAGATTTTAAAACATAAAAAATAACATCATGAAGGCTCAGTGATATAGCACTTGCCCCAGTTCAATCCCTAGTACCACCAAATAAACAAACAAACAAATAAGTAACACTCTGAACATCGTGTGCCCACAACCCAGCTTGAAAAAAATCATTTCTAATACTATTTTTTTCTTTCTTTCTTTCTTGGAAACAGGATCTCGCTATGCAGTTCAGGCTGGCCTTTTTGTAGCCCGGGCTGGCCTCTAACTGGGAATGATCCTCCTGCCTCAGCCTCTTGAGTGCTGAGATTACAGGCATGCATCACCATGCCCAGCTACATTCTATTTCTTCATATGAACACTACTAGTCATACAGTTATCAAGTATAACTTATGATGTTCAATTTTTTCTACATATGCTGAGCTTTATAAAAAAAGTTTGTGCCAGGCATGGTGGTACACGCCTGTAATCTCAGCACTTGGGAGGCTGAGGCAGGAGGATCACCATGAGTTCAAAGGTAGCCTGGGCACTTCAAGTGAGTTCAAGGTCAGCCTGGACTACATAGTGAGACCATGTCTGTCTGTCTGTCTGTCTATCTATCTATCTATCAATCAATAAACTTTGGTTTAAAAAGAAAACAAAACACAAACACAAATGTATATCCTATCCTGAAGGACAAATACATCCCCTTCACAATGTCCTGAAAGGCACTCTCCTCCTCTCCTCCCATGTGTACTACCTTCTGCTTCGCATGTTTGTCACTGCCTTCTTACAATCACTGTAGACTATGAAAAACCTATGCTTCCTAGCCTGAAGAAAATAAATCGCAGATGTTGCTCTGTCTTTTTTTATCCACACAAACTCATGAAGACTTACAATCATTTGCCAAAAGCAGATATTTCGACTAATAAGCATCACCTGTACCATCCATCTATTTAGAAGACAAGAAATACACTTGATAAAATTCACATAGAGGAATGCCATGGAAATATCAGTTAAAGTAAATTGTCTTTATGTTTTTTAATTACTAAAAAAAAAAAAAAAAATCCTAGTTTTTGTTTCCAAAGAGAGCTTTTGAAATTACCAACCACTGTTACCCACATAGTTTTTTTTGTTTTTTTTTGTTTTTTTTTTTTTTGGTCTTTTTGAGAGAGGGTCTTGCTATGCAATTCAGGCTGGCCTTGAGCTCACTTTGTAGCCCAGGCTGGCCTCAAACTCGCAGCAATCCTCCTGCTTCAGCCTCCTGAGTGCTGGGATTACAGGTGTGCGCCACCATGCCCGGCAACCCACACAGTTTTGAAGTCCTAGAAAATTAACATCACATCTGCCTATAAGGAATTTTTTTTTTTAAAGTTTATTGCAAGGCTACAAAAATCACCTACAACTTTTCTTAGCTACAATAAGCCAAAGGTCAAGGATGATTTACTCACTTTAACAAGTAGGTTTTATACACCGATGCTGTTATTTCATACTACTTACTATAGAGCATATGTAAAATGCCATTAAGGTATGATTTGGTTCATACATACAGCTAGAGCATTTTATCCTAATATATATAGAAATACATATAATGTATGCTCTGACTGAATTACTTTACCCTTGGATCGCCAACAAGCATATACTACAAACACAACAGCAGTTATGAAGCAGCAAATCTGAGAGAAAAGGGTATCTCTTACAAAACAAGGCCTGACTTTTCATTCTATTTCTATTCTTCTACTTCCCCCTTTCTCTAACAGCTTACCACCAATGGGTTCCAAGTCACTCCCATCTCTGTAGCAATTATTCTTCAGTACAGTTCCATTCTGTCTGCTCAGAATGATTCTGCTCTTCTTTCAAGGTTTTTTTCTTCCTGTCTTAGCTTACACTTCCTGCCTTGGCTCACCTTATAACCTCAATCAAGCTAACAGGCTTTGATGCAGGTCTTTCAGTTGGTAGAAAATGAGTTATCATACGCTGAAGCCTCCTGGCAGGCTTTGAGCCTGCCGTGGGAAAGCTCCAAGAGCTTGACACATTTCATTGTTCTGCCTCATCAGGTCAGAGCATGTCCCTTAATTGTACGATGTTAAATAATAGAAGCCCACACTAAATCACTACTTAGCTAATACTGCAGGTGCCTACATTAGAGGGGTACATTAAAAGAAGATAAAAGCTTTAGAGTCACTTAATATTTATGTTGTGTCACAGGATTTATAGCAACAGAAGACTTTGAACAAAGAAAAATTATAGACACAGGTTTTATACGGATCAATAAAATGTAAAAATTAGGTTAGTAAATGTTTTAAGAATGCTGTCAGCTTTAACCAATAATTGATATAAGTCAATCAGCAATGAGAGGGACTTCTGCTTCTGGCCAGGCCACAGTAACATGGACCAAATTTATCCTCTGCCTTGAAAAAACAAAAAGCAGTCCAAGAATATGAAAAAAAGTTTCAAGACACTGGTGAGCAAACAAGGCTGGCTCCATCACCCAGCTTCCTGCCTTGGGAGCTTGCAAGCCATGAGAGGCACAGGATGGAAAGCCCCAGCAAGGCCTAGCAGGCTGGGCAAGCTGAGAAGATGGAACGCAAGTCTGGAGTGATCAGGAGGCTCACGTTTGTGGGACAGAGTGATACTCTAGAAGAGAGACACGCGGATGCAGAACTCCAAAGATCTGCAGAGGTCTCCTTAAACACTGAGCTAGTGCTGATCAGCGCATACATGTGAGGAAACTAACCAGGATCCAAAATGACCACCCGAAAGATTCCTACAGCTCACAAAGGGCCAACAAAATACCTGAACAGCCAAACTGGAAAGAAAAGCTCATGATTCATGTCTTCGGGTAGAGTACACAGAAAGACCTTGCCATAGTAGTGAGGCAAAATTAACTCTACAAACACACATAGAAAGCTTAATGCAAAATAGAGAAACTTTAATGAACATGAAGGAAGTCAGGCATGGTGGTGCACACCTATAATCCCAGCATTTGGGAAGCTGAAGTAGGAGGACTGCTTTGAGTTTAAGACCAGCTTGGGCTACATAGTGAGTTCAAAGCTAGAATGAACTATGTAGCAAGACCCTGTCTCAAAAAAAAAAAAAAAAAAAGAAAGAAAGAAAGGAAAAGAAGGAAGAAATAAGAAGAGGGCTGAGGGTGAATGCAAAGTGCTGGCTTTGGGTTTGATTCCTAGCATGGAAAAAGACAAAACAAACCAAAAAACCCTACTACCCATATCAAAATCACATTCCTCAAAACTAGAGACAATGAGAAAGGCTTAACTGCAAAAAAGAAAAACAAAAACATTATGAATATAGGAAGGTAAGAATGATAGATTTCTCAGTGTAAACAATATTAGCTAGAATACAGTTAAATAATATCTTTGAAGTACTAAAAGAAAAAAAAATAAAGAAAAGGTCAACCTATAATTCTACATCCAAAGAAATACCTTCTAAAAATAAAGGTGAAAGACCTTTTCAGACACTTAAAAGCTAACGGATTTCAGCAGCAGTAGACTTGTACTACAAAAGAAATTTAAAGAAAGTCCTTCAGAGGAAAAAAAAAAGTTACCATACAAAACTATGAATCTAGGGGCTGGGGATTTAGCTCAGTGGCAAAAGCGCCTGCTTGGCAAGTGCAAGGTCGTGAG